ATTTATTTAACTGTGACAGCTTATATTTACCCCTTACCGTCATTATGGGATCTCTTTGATTGGCCATTTGTTTATATCAAAATTTTGGTTTCTGTCACGTTTTGCCGGCAGAGGCCCTACTGTGCGACGTTGTCAACGTCAACGTACGGCAGCAAACATTAACACCAAAGCAGGACAGGGATCGCGGCGTTGTCATCAAAGTGATATGCGCAATAATCTGAAGAATACAGCCACGGAGGCACATGTATGTATATATATACATACAAAACGCGTGTTACTAAAAAAAAACCAAAAAACTAATATATCTATATACATGCATTTGTGAGTTGTTTCTTTTTAGTGAGCTATTATGGCACTTTAAAAACTATTTGAAAATGATTTTTATATTTTCGGCCAGACAGAAGGAGGCGTGGCATCGATCTCAGCATCTATATGAGCTAGAGACTTTTTGTAGGTCCGTGTATAGCACGCGCATATCAAGATTGTTTCAAATATTCGATAAATATTCCTGTTTTAATGTTATCAATTAAAAACATGATCAAAACGCAGTTTTGTATTTAGTTTTATGTATATTTTATGCAATTTTGATTTTTGCTGGATTTTGGATACCAACTCCAAGCCAAGCAGCGCAAAGCGCACGCATTTTTCCTATGCGTGTGTACATATACTTTCAAATGCATGTATTCTTTTCTATTCGAAGAATTGAATTGTGCTTGAATTATCAACTGTATTATCTTTGCATAAGCAGTGCATTGGCGGTGTTGGTGGAGAACCTTTTTTTGTTCTTAATTTATATTTTAATTATGAAGTGGCGGTGTTGATAGAGTTGATGCCCGGCGTTGCATAGACAATGTGGGTTCGAATCTTGCTGTCGTATTGTCAGTCTTTATTTTATTTTTTTTTATATTCGATACAAACTATGGAACATATTAAAAAACGCAGATAGGACTGGGATCAGGGTATCTCCTAGTCAGGCACTCCGACAACAGCTTTTTTACTTGTTAAATTCTGCGCTTTAAAATGAATATATAGATTGGAAAAATATGCGACTTAACGAAGTTATTTTTACCCGTAATCAAATAACATAATTTATTGATTGCTTGAAGGTGCTCCTCTAAACTGTAAGAGTATAAAAACATTTGCAAGAAATCTATAAGTATTCCTAATTATTATCTACATAACTACATGATTGACGGATTGAGCAGTGAAGCATAACTTAAGGGCTTGAAGAGTTAATCATTATGGTTTGATCGGGTTTTATAATATAATTTATAATATACAACCTTTGATATATTTGAGCAAGGCGTGATGAGTGATTGATTGATTGATTGGTAAGCCATAGCCTACAGGCTCACTACACTAAAATGGAATTTTTAGTCTTATGAAGCACACACTCTTCTCTACACACGACATGCGCTGAATGGTTCGTAGGAAGCTTTTCCAACAAAAGGCTTTACACCTGGGGTGGTGTTGATTCTACTGGTGTGCTGGTGGTGCGGACCACACACATACACCAATGCGAAAAGAGTGTTCGGTTTTATGGCTTCTGCGAGTTAAAAAACATGTGACATTTGGGTGGTCGTAGAACTTTTAGCAAACAAAGAGCCCGGCTCGGTGCCCAACGGCGGCACAAGGGGAGGCAGCGGAGACGGCAGTATTTGCGATGGCGGCGACGCCGATAAGCGCATACACAGACAACAACAAATTTGATTGCACCCAAGAACTGAGAGGAGCACAGCTTCTGCTGCAATATCAAAAAAAAAAAAAAAAAAAAAAAAAAAAAAATTAAACTTAGGAGTGCCTTTCTAGGAGTTTCATAAATACACAAAACAATGTAATGTATGCGTATAGATGTACAGAGAAATACATACGCTTGGCGCTTTTCAACCATTTGATTCTATATTTATGTATACCATATCCACGACGAGTTTGTAATTTGTTTAATATCTCATCCCATTTTCTTATCGACCAGAATAGGCAATTTGATGCCATTTATTAAGTGTAGCACAGATTATGAATATGTTGGATTTCAAATGTATATATAAAAGGCTTCTGTTTCGGCAAAAACCCACATCTACATCTTAGTAACGCTTAAGAAATTTAATAAATAAAGTCCATCTAAAAGAAAACGTTTAATACGTAGTAATATAAGCTACGCAGTAAGCAGGCCGTGTGCTTGTGGACATATATTGTTGGTATGTATATACATACATATGTATAAAAGAAGCGTTGAATCGGAAAGCGGAAAACTAACAGATGCTTCAACTGAAAAAATCAACAACATCCAACTTCTTATCAGTTGAGCTTTTTATTTTACATTTTGTAGCATTTCATAAAGTGAAAGGCGAGCACTGCCAGGGGCAGGCAACAAAGTTAATACCACAGCAACATCAGAAAAACAACTATGAAAGCTGTGGTCGAGGAAAAAGACTAGCGAGTACTCTGAACCATGTCCGACCTCCATTTTTATTTATGTATAGATTTAAAAAACACACACAGTTACTCCTGTAAGTACATATCTAACAGTATTTTCGACTAAAAGAAAATATGTGCTTCGCATATGATTTATAATTCTATTCAATATGCGGCAATTTATTCAAAATACATCATTCACATATTAGCTGTATTTGCAACTGAGCAACAATTTAAAGATCATTGACATATTTAGTATAAATCAATTTTTTGTTTTTTATACCCTGAGCACATTGTAAATGGAAGTTTGGGGTATTATGGTAAGGTGAAAATGTATGTAACTGCAGAATATGGAGTAACAACCTTGAAGTATATTTATTTTTGATTAAGACGACGAACTGAGCGTCAAATAATATGACCTATTAATATATACACTTTATACCCATTATGACCCATTTATATATATATATATATACATAGAATTTTGTTTGACCCATTTGTATATGATATATATAAATGGGTCATATTATTTGACGCTCAGTTCGTCGTCTTAATCAAAAATAAATATACTTCAAGTTTGTTACTCCATATTCTGCAGTTACATACATTTTCACCTTACCATAATACCCCAAACTTCCATTTACAATGTGCTCAGGGTATAAAAAACAAAAAATTTTCTCACCCAATTCACCAACTACAAATCTTTCCCTGCCAGAAGTACAGTTGTTCAAGCAGTGCGTACAAAAATAAGAAGAAACAAACAAAAGTGCTACGATTCACAATATGAACTGCATTCACTTTAATACGCTATTCACCCCTATTCACTTTTGATGTTGTTTTATGGAAACCCTTTAAATGTATTTACCCTGCCCATGAGAATGCAGTGTTGTTTAACATATAGCAAAAGCCGCTCTGCATACGAAGAGCGCATATGAGAGAGTTATGAAAGTTAAATAGAGAGAGAGAGTGAACGCATGGCTTGAAGTTCGCTAGCAAAGAGACCTCAAAAGGCAAGCCAAATGTTCAATTTTTTATTTTCATTTTTCACTCATCTTTCTTGATTTCTTTATTGCTCGTTTGGTTTGCTACAACCGTTCAATTTGTTTGTTGCGTCGGCAACGCTGCCGACGCGCTGCAGCTGTAATGAAACCAGTGTTGCCAACTCTTCAGGACTGTAACAAGCTAGATCAAGAAGTGGATAAAGCTAAACAACAATTTTGAAACTCGAACACAAAAAGCTGTTTTGATTTGAAGAGTATTTCTTATATTATTATAAGAATTAAAAAACTGGTTTTTATGCATTTTACGTACTTTTCAACATTTTTTTTACCGTGGTCAATCAATATCCATATAAAACTGATCATTCTTAAAATACATTTATGTGAAAGATTGAATTTAAAGTGCCGAAAAGTAAAGTATTTCTTAGTTTTGACTAAAAGACACAAAGCAAATGAACCTTATAGCATAGTACGTTTAATGCCTGCCGTTTCTAGAAAACCATAAAAATCCTTATATAAGATATTGCCTGTTATAAACTTAACACTTCTATAATTTGAGAAGTTGAAGCATTTTGGCATTTTACGTGACAGAATTGAAAATATTGTGAAATACCTTGCTTGTGATGGGAAAGTATGACTCCAAAGCAATCGTTTAGCAAACATACAAGTTTCAGATTTTAGCAGTAGCTTTATTCGAAATAATACATTAATGATTCAATATAGCTTTATTTGTCGTCAACTATTTCACCACTTCGCTACTTCACAATTTTCCCGGCGTTCTTCAAAATAGCCAAATTGGTAACACTAAATGCAACTAGTTGCAGCACCAACGTCGGATGCGCTTTACTTTAGACTTTGAACTCATTTATTTAAATAAAAAAGCAAAGAAGAAATAAAAACAAAATATTAAATTTAGTCTTTAATTGATTTTTGTTTCCTCACATATATACGGGACTACCTGTTTTCCACGTGAAAAACTATTAACAGAATTCCTCTCGCTCTATGTCTATCTTTGGTTTTCTCTTTTTAACTAGCTGTGCAGCACAAAGTCTTTGGCTTCAGAGCTTATCGTAATAACAAAACAAAAGCAGATCACATTAAAAAGAGCTCTCTCTCCTAAATCAGCACACACTGGCACAGAATACCTCGCAACAAAGCAAACCAATGGTCTCATAGCGTAGTACACGCACACAGGCCAAATGTTAACATAAAACGAGAGAAAAACTAAATAGTCTTACGAAAAAATATGTAAAGACATACACCAACATGGTATGTCTGTAAATACTTATATATATAATCGTAAGGGGCACATATAATGTTTATAGCCCCGCTACCACTTTATGGGGCACGTGCACACTCAACTTGATGACAAGAGAATAAACGGAAGAGAGCGAGAGAGAAAGAGGGAAAAGAGAGTGAGAGAGATGGAAAGGGAAGGGAGAGAAAGAACGGGGAAGACAAATATGAAAATCAGCAGAGCAACTTTTTATGCTACAAAAAACTTAATTCTCCTAAATAATTAATGTTAAGCATTACAAAATAAAGACCTAACTGTATATGTATATGGACATATATGTGTGCAATACTCACTTTTCGCGATGCAGCAAACAAATGCGATCCTTGGCCACTTTCAGTTTCTTGGCTATAATCTTCTTCAAGCTCTCGACACTAATGTGCGGGTCGACGTTGACACCGAAGTTGCCGCCGGTTGTCGTGCTAATATTGAGGTTAATCATCATATTGTTGCCAGTTACCGTTCCCGTTCCAGTTCCCGTGTTCATTCCAGTTCTGTTGGCAACTGTTGTGGAACTGTTGCTGCTGCCTAGCAACGTACTTGTTGTTGCCATTGCGGCTGCCATGGCCGCAGTCTGAGAAAACCGTTGCCTGCCATTGTTGTTGCTGTTGTTGTTGCGCTTGTTGTTGTTACTCTTGCTGTAGATGCTGCTGCTGCTATTGTTAGCTTCGTTGATGCTGCTGCTGCTGCTGCTGCTGTTGCCAGTACTACCACGCCCAGCCTCGTTTGTTGCGGTTGCCTCATTTTTAACACTGGTGTCCGTTGCGGCTTTTGCATTTGCCGTGTTCGTTGTTGTGGATTTATCCATTATTGAAAACAATTTATTTTTCTCATACAACCACGCAACAAAAACAAAAAAAAAACCAACGCACTCACTTTATCAGACTTAATATTGAAAAAAAAAAAAAAAAAAAAAAAAAAAAAAAAAAAATAACAATCCACAATTGAAAACTCCACTCGAGAAAAATGCGTTGAAAATCGCGCAACGCCCGCTGCGATGTCGACGTTGGCGACTGCGGCGTTGGTTCAATCGATTTTGTATACACACCACACCTTATGTTCGCGCACACATACAGCTACGCATAGGCACTACCATACAGAGAGATAAAAACGCTCGCTCGCACCAGACGAAGAGCGAACAACGTCAACGCTTACGTTTGAAAGCGACTGCGCTGCTTTCAATTTTGTCTGTTTGCTGTGTTGGGACTGAGAAGTGGTGGTGCTGCTGCTTTTACTCTACTGCTGTCGCCACAAAGTACGGTACACACAGATGGTTTCGGGAGTATTCAGTTATGTATATAACGAAACAAGTGCAACGAGGCGAATGAAGCGTGGTAGGGTTTTCCTGTTTCTTTTTTGTTGTTCGCTTGCGAAAGAGTTTAGTTCAGATTAACATGCGGTGCTTATGCTCATGCTTGTGTAGTCTCGTTCTTGCTTCTTATAGGATATTTTCTTGATTAGATTTAAATGTTCCGCTTATTAGTATTTGTATTTATTGTAATGATCAATCCAGATGTTCAGGTACGACATATATTGTTCATTTGATTGCTTTATTCATTTGAGCGTGAACATGCGACAATTGTCTAAGAGAATTTTATTTTTTTTTTACAGTTGTGATTTTATAACGGCTTCCGTGGCTGTTCCACTGTTGAGGGCTCTCGCACATTTGTAGCGAACATACACTATTTATCTTTCCCTTTCTTAGCAAAGGCCATTGAATCAAATTGGAAGCGTCCGCAGCGACGAAAGCCAATTAAAGAAAATAAAACCTTAACACACACACTAGGCGTCAACGCACAGTTAAAAGTATAAATTTCGCGCACCGAGCTTCACACGTCCGCCTCGTCCGGCTTTGGCTCTACTTCTGAATATCGATGACAAGATTTTGATGTTATCGGAATGGATCTCTTCGCATAACATATTTATGTAAAGTAACAGGTTCTCATTTACAGCCGCGAATATTATTTGCAGCTCTGGGACTAAAACGTCATCTACTTCCAGCCACAGGGTTGCATTCGCTACCAACTGTCAATGTTGGCAAGCGGAAGTGACTTTCTTATGTCAAATCGACAATGAGTTCTTTTCGTTTAAAGGTCTCTAAGGCGAAAGTTGTGTTTTTCTGTGCATTTCGCGTTTCGTGTCAAAAACTAAAGACTTAAAGTAAGTGATGTCGCAAGTAATTTGAAAACCTTACTCAAATCTTTTGTGAAACGAAATAAATTCAAATATCAAGCGATGCCAATTATACAAGCAGATTATATGAAGATATTTGTATAATGTTCAAATGTTTTATTTAACGTACTTATGTATATTTATATTTGTAGCATGCGTTACGTGGCTGCATATCTGTTGGCTGTCCTCGGTGGACAAGATAGCCCCGCCAATGCTGATCTGGAGAAGATCCTCAGCTCGGTGGGCATTGAAGCCGACGCTGAGCGTCTGACCCGTGTGATCAAGGAGCTTAAGGGCAAGAGCATCGACGATTTGATCAAGGAGGGTCGTGAGAAGCTCTCGTCGATGCCTGTTGGTGGTGGCGGTGCAGCTGCTGCTACACCTACAGCTGGTGCCCCCGCGGCTGCTGCCGGTAGCGACAAGAAGGAAGCCAAAAAGGAGGAGAAGAAAGAAGATTCTGAGTCTGAAGATGACGACATGGGCTTCGCTCTCTTCGAATAAACTAACTTCTCAACCATTCGTATATACTGTGTAAAAACCATTTACAACAGCGACATTTAAGGTACGTCTAATATGCAATATGAGATGGAAATAACCTATGAAGGGGTATGATATGACAATTTGTGATGAACCAAACTTACACCATCTTTCGACTGAACACAATCGCTGATGCTATACAAGTTTTACTGATTTGTTTGCTCCAATTCCCCAATGGTTCCTTTAGCTGTCAATGAAATGTTTTATCCAATTCTAATAATACGTATTTTTCTTGCAGGACTCCTGGGCAGCAGTAACAACGTGTGCTATACAGAGTAGCATATATTGCTTAAAATTGTTAATACCACCCAACAACAAATATAGAAAAGAACAAAAGTTAAAACATTATTTCTATGAAATAAAAATCTGCCGTGTTTACGCTTTATATACGAACATATATAATGTATTGTTTTTTTTTACCAACTTAAATATGTACCTTTTTGTTCCCAAACGGAATATGTATTTTTTTTTAATAAAACTTGCTGTGATCTCTACGCGCATTTGTTGGTACTGTAGAATCTGGCTTGTGGAATTATTGAATCTTTGTTTACAGTTTTTTATATTGGTTTAAAGACGATGTTCCGGCATATTGAAATGTGTAGGCACATGGTTTAATATCTTTCCTCGTAGGTGCATAAGAAATAGATATTGTATGTACTGAATAAAGCTATTTACCATGTAGAATTTCAGATAGATAAAAATGCGTCTTACTGAGTTGCTCAAAAATGGTTATGTTGCTTATGGAAAATTCATATACCTAGTGGCAGTAGTAGTGGCAGGTGGCAACGCTCAAATTCTGGATAAGTACCGTTGGATTCCTAACATGCTGGTGGAGACTTATCTGCTGTTGAATCAAGATTATATGAATAGCTGTATTTTATGTAGTCTCTGAGCTCGAGTCATCCGATCAAGTCGACTTTTTGTTCTCTTTTTTTACTGTCGTTTGCTGCCATTTTGTTTTCTCTTCAGAAAATGACCGCCATCCGCAATATGAGTGAGTTTCACAAACGCTTCGAGGCGGCCGAACATAAGGTGATTGTTCTGGACTTTTATGCCACATGGTGCGCCCCGTGCAAGGACATTGACAAAGTGGTTAAAGCACTCGCGCGTCAATACGCTAGTAAAGTGGAAGTAATTAAAATAAATGTGGACAGATTTGAAGATTTGGTGGAAACTTACAAAGTTCGCAGCATGCCAACATTTGTGTTCATCAAGAACAATCGAAAAGTAGGCCGAGTCATTGGAGCAGATGAGCACAAACTAAAGCAAACGTTGTCCAAAATCTGCAAATGAACGGGAATATAATGACGCAGGCGTCGCCCTCCATAACATATTGCTAATCAAATATTTTTAATATGTACTAGATATTACTTGTAACTGTAACGTCAGCCATTTTGTGAATCTAGGTTGTTTGAGCATAGCATTTAGGCTCCAGTTTGATATATTTGTAACGTAAAGAGCATATGCAATAAATAGTTCTAGACACGATTATATATAAATATCAAAAAACGAAAATGACTAATTGACACATTAATACTATCAATTTTTTTACTTAGCGACTAACGACATATCTACAAAAAACCATCCGTATTCTCCAACGCGATATAAACACGATAACCATAAGCGTAATGCGTTCGAGCGAAATGTCCTCTTTTGCTGTTTCAGTCCATAAGCACTAGTTATTCCCACACAAAACTATCAAAGATGGAAACATTCAGAGTAATGAATGAATGCAGTAATGAATACACAGATTTTGTATATTTTGGATTCCTGCTCCTCTTCCCTCGAATTCGCACAAAAGTATTTGAAGCACTAAAGACTTGTGCTTTTGGCAAACATATACATGCACAATGTCATTATTAGGAACAACAAATTTCATTAGAACACTGAATTTAAATCAAATGTTATTCAACAATTAATTTATCATAAAATATTGGAAAGCAATGCAATATATCAAGTTGTAGTATTGATATATTAATTGATAATTACAAATCCAAATATATCAAATTTTTTTTGGACTAGTCTCAATTTATTAATTCCCGCTTTTGCTATACTCCCCATTTCTAAAACTACAGGAAATCCAAATTTTGCAATGTCTCCAAGATTTTGAACGAATCTTGTAAAAAAACAAATACAGGGAAAGAGTTCAAGCAGTAAAAAGAAAAACAGTATGCAACAACGTTAACATAAGGTCTAGGAGTTTCTATAGTCTTTGTGGTCCTCGAGGATATAATCTTCCTGGGTGTATCTTATACACGGATCTGGCGTGAGCGTCTGCAGTTCATTTTCGCCCGTGGGCGTTTCTTTTGGCCAATCCTCCAGCTCCCATTGGGTCTTCTTGCGTGGTGGCGTCTGTTTGCGCTCCCGACGTTTGGCCAAGAACGAATGGAACTGGTTACTTTTAGATGTGAGATCCTGGGCTTCAACCTCGTCCAGTTTACGTTGCATGCGTGCCAGTTCCGGGATTGACTGCTGTTGATCGATCTGTTGATGCTGCTCCCAAGCTCTTTTTGATATGCGCATCTTAACGAGAATCCTGTGCATGATGAGGTGATGATTCAGGCCGAATACATCGTGTCGCATCTCAGTCAGCTCTCCTGACGGTGACGGTGGTGCAGTGTTGCCATAGAACTCCTGACGCATTGTCTGGGCAACATCAAAGTTAGGCTGCAGCTGCTGCTTCTCGTGCTTGTCGTTATCCTGATCATGATCCTGATCCTCAGTTGGTTTGTTCAGGTTTAATGTGCGCAGAACCTCCTCGACATTGTTGATATTGTTGCTCGTTTTGTCATGCACAAATTTAATACGCGGCACCTCACCCATGAGTCGCAGCTGAGAGAGCTCGTGGCGGAGCTGGCCGCTGAGGCTCTGCAGCTCCGCTTCCAGCGAGATATCGCCACCCAGCCAATAGACATTGATACAGGTGAAATCCGCGGAGATTTTCACCCGTGACACCTGTAGCCCGAGTCCCAGTATGGATTCTGCTGTCTGCCCTGTGGCCAGCAGATCGGTGATATGTGTCATGAACAGTTTGTTCAGCACTGACATTCGTCTTGTATTGTTCTTTGAGCCGGACGATTTGAATTTGCCAAACTGCGAAGCCTGAAATATCACATTTGGCGGTTGGTAGCAGTTACTGCAGTTGGTGTTGGCATCATGTCTTGGATACCAGCGTTTCTTTGTGCCTGCCACTCGGATGCCAAAGAGTTTACCTAGAATGGTGCTTTGCCTCGTTGTATTTGTGTAAGAGGCATTTTTACTCTTAGCGCGACTTGGCTGCAAATGTGGGAGCAATCGGTTGCGTAACATTTGTTGATTATCTTATGGTTTTGTTAAACTTACTTTTTACGTTTTAATTGTTTTCACGTAATTATCGATATCTCTTAATCGAGAATACGCATATTGTTCGCTCTGAATACTGCTGCGAATTTGGCTTTTTTTCCGCTAGCTCTGGTGTTGTACAAAAGCAGAACAAGAAATTGCGTTAGCGGGAATTATACCTATATTGAATTAGGTTTGTATTTTTAACAACACTACTGCCAAAATCTCAATTTTGTATCTTTTCACGATAGCTTTTAACAATCTACGTAACTTCATCATCTGAAATCAAACCCATCAACTGCAAGATATTTCAAAATATTTAATGCTTGTGGTCAACCAAGACCAGTACAACTTAAAATTGTCAAATTCCAAAATTGAAGAATTGAATAGGTGAATAAGTTAAATGGGAAGCTTTAAATGCTACAATTGATTATTGGAATGAAATTACCAAATATATTAAGCTTATTTTGCATTAGCATCTTCTGACATGTTTCTTTTATCTTTACATGATCTAACAAAGATATTGAACACTGAAAAAGTGAAATGAATATCGTTCAGTCAAAATTAAGAAATACGCTACTTCTTGACCCTTTAAATTCAATCTTGAACATAAGGTAACATATTTCTTTAATTCAGTTATATTTTTACACTCTGATCCCATTGAAAATGGGAAATCAGAGTATATTGGTTTTGTTAATATGTATGTAACATTTTTATAGGTCCGCGTATGCAATTATTAAAATATATTTCGTACGGCTAGCGTAGGAGAGCTAGCGCCTCCAAATTTTGTATATACAATTTTAATTTTGTTATAATGTTATATTTTGGATATCGGCTCCAAATTTTGCCAAATCCTTGACACTTAAGTTCAGTTTAAAATAAGGCCAACATATGAAAAAGTTTACATATTTTTTAAGCTGGCAAGTACTCCAATCGAATATGTCGATCATATACTAAAAATGTCATTTAAATCCATTAGGTAAAACAGAAGTTATTAAACAAAGCGTTTGGCCAATTTGCAAAGCACATGTCAAGCAACGACAAGCACACGAATTTTATCTATACGTGTACACATACATTCAAATGCGTGTAAGTTAACAACAAAGTTGTTCCACAATTCTCGGTGCGTTCAAGAACTGCTACAATAGCCCAAAAATACTTCAATTCTGCAGTCTGCATTTCCAAACAAGAACCGCTACAATAGCGCGAAACTACCGCAATTCAGCAAATTGCAATTCCTAACAACAAATTTGTCGCTCAAATCTCTGTGCGATCAAGAGCCACTACCATAGCGCGAAACTACCGTAATTCAGCAACCTGTCGCCGAATGCAGACAATGTCGCGAGAGTCATCAGCGGCGCTGCCACAATCAACTCAGATTTTAGCCAGCTGGGGTACAGTCGTCTTAAGAATAAAGTAGTCTTAAATCTGGGATCAACCTGATCACATATAAAAATAAAACTCAAGATCTTTTATTTTAACTGGCGCCTGAGCAGGAATCGATCGCGAATACGACAGTGCAAAAAGTCATCTAAGTCCACGAATCGGCCATGATTAACCGCGAGAGAACAAAACGTTTATAAGTGCGTGTAATCATTTATTGGCACGATAATGTTATAACCCAATCGCAGCCACAGTTTGCGAAACTTGGGCTCACGCTTTGTATAATACGTGATGTGCTCTACGACATCTTGGCATAACTTATGAACAGCCGAACCGCGAGTAGGGGATACCAAAAGGGATTAATTCGGTATCATTGGAGATGGAGCACGCACCAACAATAGTTTTGTAAGAGAAAGAAAATAAGTGATTAGTTGAAAATAAATTGGAAAAAAAAATATAAATGAAATAATTAATACAAAATGAAGAAAAAAACAACGAATCAAATTAATATCTAGTAACAAATATAAGAAGCTAAGAAAAATATTAAAGATAATATATTGATGTAATATTAAAATTTTAAATTCTAAGAAGCAACAAAGCAGAATAGTAATACGATTATCAAAAGAAACAAAATCAAATATAAGCTTAGTGTACCGAACTTGCAGCTGCGCAGTGTAACCTGAACGAAACAAATAAGAAACAGTAGAACACAAACGCGCTGTAAAAATTCGCCGAATAGTTTTTACCCCGAATTTAAATATTCCACTTGCAAAATTTAATACTTAAGCAAAACAAACTAAAGATAAATCTTATCATTTTGAAACCAAAATTACACTATAAATTAATATTTTCACAATTTCATATAAATTCATTTTGCCTCTAAAATTTTTACACTACAAATTTTTTTTACATATTTCTGTTCATCAAACATTTCTTCAATATTACATTTTATCTATAAACACATTCGCTTATACTAACAAAAAATTAACTAACCATGGCTAACCCGAATAATTTATTACGACCCGCAGTACTTAATACAATTGACACAGATGAATTACCATCTTCAGTACCAACCAACGCTAATAACGACGAAAATAACCAGAGACAGCAGCAACGAACAGCAAGTAGACAGCATCAAAACAATAGAAGGGGTGAAACAAATTCCATCGAAAACTATATAGACCAAATAATCAATGATAGATTGGCAACAATACTAAACAACATGAGTGTTAGCAGCATGCTAACGATTTTGCTGAGGTAGCCGCCTATAGCATAGATCCTGACTCTAGAGGCAACACTACTAACTTAGACCGCGAACCAGACATAGTAAAAGGTATTTTATAAACAATACATAGTAAAATAATTCATCATCAGATTCAGACCAAGTACTAGACTCTTATAATATGCTTCTTAACAGGCACTTGCTCAATGCCTTACTCTACACTTTGCGGACAAACGCGACTTAAGCACACTTGAGTACCAACTAACCACTATGATACAAAACGGACAACAGTTGAGAAATTGTAACAGAATATCTACAAACACCTATCTTTGATCCTCAATAATGTTAGTTGTATGAATTTAGACAGACAAGCTGAGGTAGTTATGACAAAATCTTATAGAGATAGGGCATTAGATACGTTTATAAGAAGCCTACGTGGTGATTTACCACGGATTATTGTCATCAGGGAGCAATTCCCCATAAACCAAGACGGGAAAAGACAAAGACTCTTTAACACTGAGGGAGCAGAATGTCAGGGACAAAATGAATAACGCTATGCCGAGGCTTACGCCACCATGACTGATTATGAAAGATACGAGCAGGCAATGATAGAAATCAACAACCAGGAGGAATATGACATGAGCTTGGCAGGGTATATTGAGCAACCGAACGCAAACAGCGAATCAGAAACCACGCAATATTATTGAATTATTGATTATTGATTTTTATTGAATTTTAGGATTGAGCGACTCCTCGCCACCCTATTTCGAATATCGAGTGAGGGGTCACAAAATTTTCAAAATTCTTATCGAAACTGGTTTAAATAGAAACTATATACAACCGAAGCATGCTACAAATCCAAAACCACACGAAACACCTTTTAAAGAAATAACTGTTGAAGGTAGCATTAAAATAACAAACCACAAACTTGCCAATTTATTCAACTATGCAGAATGTAACATAAATTTTTTTTTACCAATTCTCAAATCATTTGATGATATTCTTGGCAACGATAGCCTTAAAGATTTAGAAGCAGTAATCGACGCAGCCCATAAAGTAATGACAATTAAGAGAAAAAAAGATACAGATAAATGAAAAAAATACGAAGCAGTTAACACAATCATACTCAGGACGGAACATTTAGACGACAGACAAAAACAATACCTTGACCAATTAATCCTCAAATATTCTAATCTTTTTGCGGACACAAACGAAAAATTTACCTACGTTACGAATGTTAATGCAGAATTAAGAACCTCTACCGATTCCCCAATATATTCTAAATTCTACCAATATCCGATGTCCTTAAAAGATGAAGTGAATATACAAGTCCAAAGGCTGCTAGATAATGGCGTTATTCGATCTTCACGGTCACCTTATATCTCAGCAGTATGGATAGTTCTTCAGAAACTAGATGCATCCGGTGAAAGGAAATTTCGAATGGTAATAGACTACCGAAAACTCAATAAAGCCACTATAGCAGACAAATACCACATTCCCGAGATTAACGAGGTATTAGTATTCTGTCCTCGACCTTAAGAGTGGAGTTCATCAAATTCCTCCTAAAACGTCAGATCCTATTTGGATTAAAAAACGCACCATCCATTTTCCAAAGTGCGCTCGATGATATTCTCAGAGAGCACATCGGGAACATCTGTTACATTTACATCGACGATATTATTATTTTTAGCAAGGATAGGGAATCACATACAAAAAATCTTCAAACAATTTTTCAAACTCTGCAAGATGCCAACATGAAATGCCAATTGGACAAATGCGAGTCTTACAAAAATAAAGTAGAACTTTTAGGGTTCGTTATTTCTGACCAAGGTATCGAAACAAACCCAAACAAAGTACTAGCAATAGCCAATTACCCACAACCCAGAACTTTAAAGGATTTAAGAGCATTTTTAGGACTAGCAGGGTACTATAGAAGGTTCATAAGGGATTTTGCTAAGTTAGCTAAGCCCCTTAGCTCCCTTTTAAGAGGGGAAGATGGACGAGTGTCCAAAAACAATTCAAAGAAAAAATTATTAATATGAACCAAGAGGCAATAGGAGCTTTTAACAAAATCAAGAATTCACTAGTGTCCGATGAAGTTATTCTTCTTGATTTCAACAAGGAATTTCAACTAACAACAGATGCCTCCGATTTCGCCATAGGCGCAGTACTATCCCAAGGTGACAGAACTATTTCCTTTCTCTCTAGAACGCTTTCCAAAGCAGAAGAAAATTACGCCACTAACCAGAAAGAGATGTTAGCTATAGTCTGGGCATTAAAAGCCCTCAGAAACTACCTATACGGTAGATCAAAAGTTAAAATCTACACTGATCACCAACCTCTAACTTATTCGCTTAGCAGCTGGAATGGAAATTCCAGAGTAAAAAGATGGAAAGCATACCTTCCTCAATTACGAATTGCTATACAAACCGGGTAAAAGTAACGTAG